TTACGGAGCAGTGTGTACATAATGTCACATTACGGAGCAGTGTGTACACTGAGTGCTGAATAATTTTACTGAATTTGCTGAAGAAGATGAAAGGGTTGTTAAAGCTAATAGAGCAAAACACTTCCTAAAAATCAAATGTTGCTAAATGCTAACTAAAAGGTGCAAAACCCAAGCTCAAAGTACCTAAATGCTAGCTAAATGTGGCAAAACGCAAGCTAAAGTTAGCAAAGGCTAGCTCTAAGCTAATGTAGCAAAACACTATTTAAAAGCTAAAAATGCAAAAGATTAGCAAATAACCATAAATGTTGAAAGGTTGGCTAAAAGCTAAAGTAGAAAAAGGCTAGCAAAAAGATGAAAGTAGTAAAAACTATCTGAAAGCAGCAGAAGACACGAGCACAAAACTGTTTTTGAAGAAAACCGATTCCTCAATGAACGAGTATGAAAATCTTTAATACAGTTAAATATTCTGTAAACTACAGCTGAAGTAGATTTTTATTTTATTAAACTTAGCATTACTTAAAGCCTCCTCAAAGCAGCTGTTTTATTCATATTTCACTATTTTTATATTTTACTGTGACCCAAAGACGGTTTTCTTTTTGGATAAATTTTCCATCTTTCATGTTAAGTGCAACGTTTTTCCATTAAAAGTGAAAACTTCCCCTACAAAACTTGAATTTGTTTTTTTTTTCTGGGGACATCTCACTTCTCAAAAAGTACCCAAGTCTGAGCCTTCGTCTCACCGCTCGGCCTCCGCCAGTTTCTCCAGGCGGTACCGCTCAGCCTCCGCCGGCTTCTTCACTTTGGCCTCCAGCTCCTTCTCCCTGCGAGTGATCTCCTGCTCCTGCAGCAAGATCTGCTGCGACCGCTCCACCACCTGGACCTGCATCTTCTCCTCCTCAATACGCTGCTTTGTCTTCGCCACCTGGACAGGAAAAGTACAATTATACAAATTATATATATATTTGTATCATCTGCATAATTTTTTTTTTTTTTTTTTTTTTTTCATTTAGCCTTTATTTATCCAGGTTAGTCTCATTGAGCCACGAGAACTCATTTTCAAGAGAGACCTGTTTAGGGAGCACATGGTGGGGTTAAGGGCCTTGCTCATGGGCCCAGAGTGGGGCGAATGAGGGTGGGGGCAAGTGTGGGTGTTTCACCTACCCCACCCACAATTTTTGATGTTGTCGGGGCCGGGGCGTGAACCGGCGATCTTTGGATCACAAGCCCACCTCTCTAACCTCTGCGCCACCACTCCTATGCATCATTAGAGTTTTGTGTATAATTCAGCTACACAGAATACTCATAATATTCTTATAAATGAGTCTTCAAGGCTCAATGTGACTTATCTGTTTAAATAACGTATGAATGAATGAATGAATTCTGTGTAGCAGACTGCAAAGGTCATGTTTGGGATTATTTTCTACGTTTCATGTAAAACATTCGACTTTCACGTTTAACCAAAAAATCTCTGATGTGCAAAACTGGGATCAATGTTTTGGTTTGACCTGTGCACAAGAATTCAGAAAGCAGAGAATCTGCATGTTTTAATATTTTAATGAACAAATACACTCAGTAAGAAATACTTAAAATAAACTTTAAAAAGTGTGTTTGAAAGACAAAATCACAGGACTGTGATAAACTTTGGAAACATTTTATCAAACAGTCAGTCTGCTCCTTTTATTTGCTGTGTGGTTATTGTTTGTGTCCATATTAAATGTATTTTAATATTTTTCTGTGGTTGATAGCAATCAGACTCTTTAGCATGTTATTTTTGTTTTTCCTTATTAAATAGTTAACTTCTTTTTTTCTCTCATCTTATTTTAATGTTTAATTATAGTTGGTATCTAAACGTTCAATCACCTCTTTTAACATAAAGTTCTGAAGTCATTCATTCATTCATAACTCATTCCATGCTCTGTAAATAATGTATATTTGTAAACAAACCCTCTTTTGTACATTTATAAGTAAAGGTTGTCTCCAAGTTTCTTACATTTGACTTCACTTAAAGAATTATAAAATAAAAAGCAACAGAGTTAATGTTCCTGTCCACTAATATTAAAGTTTGTTTATATTTCCTAATAAAGCATCAGGTTTTTGGTCAAATGAGCTACAAACACTGCGACGTGGAGTTCTTGTGCACCTGGAGCTGGTAGGCCATCTCAGACTCAGCCTTTTTGGTGTTCACTTCAATATCATACGCTGCCTTTTTCAGCTCGTAGTCTCTCTGGGCCTTCGCCATGTCGATCTCATTCCTGTACTGAGCCGAGATTTTCTCCTGCATCGCGTGAGCCTCCTGCAGGGAGACACGGAGAGGAACAGAGAAATGAGGAGAACAGGAGGGATCAGTGAGATGGCCTCCTCTGAGGAAAAAGAAGAAGTGCTGTTTGAAGACGCTGGAAACAGAACTGATAAACGAAATGACTTTTAACAAAACAAATGATCCAAGTCAAATACTCTCATGCAGGAAAGATGATGTTTATGTAGGAAAGAGACTCTTATTGGAGCTTCACAGGAATAAGATGATCTCACCCTGATCACAGCATCCCTCTTGTTCTTGGCCTCTCCGATCCGAGCATCCTTCTGCACCTGAGCGGTTCGACCTTTTCCCAGAGAGTGCAGATAGTCCTGTTTCAAAGAGAGAGGAAAACAACTGGATGTTAAAATGTAGAAAACCACAATATTATTTTTAGTTAAGAAGGAAACACATCTCTTTAAATCAATCCACCCATTTTGTTTGACACGAATGGGACAGAAGATCCGCACCTGATCATCGTGAACATCTTTGAGAGTGTAGCTGACCACGCTGATCCCCATGTTGACCAGGTCAGACGACGCCACCTTGAAAACCTGCTCCGAGAACTTCTTCCTGTCCTTGTAGATTTCCTGTCAGACAAATAACGGGGCTGTGAGCGCTGGAGCAGACTCCGGATCATAAACTAGCTATTAGTAATGAAGAACTCAATAATTAGATGTAAGCATGTTTTTATATTTGCACTTTTTGTGCACCCAATAAGACAGTTCATGTTTAATGTTTGTTACTGCTGTCAAATGTAACTTTGAAGAAACTCGCCTCGACAGTCAGGTGGGCGATGATGGCCCGCTGGTGGCCCTCCAGAGTCTCCAAAGCGATCCGAGCGATTTCAGCCTCCGACTTGCCCATAAACATCTGGCAGGCTGCGGCCAGCATCTGTTTGTTCTGACCCTGGATCTTCATCTGTAGAAAACAGAAACACGTGTACGTTTCAGGACGTTATCTAACGTGCACAAAAACAAACATCTCCAGACAAAATCTGGGGGTTTCTACGAGTAGGGAAACTGAAATCTGTTGTTTAAACCTTAAACAGAAAAGAGAAACGATTTTCAGAGTCTTGACCAACTTTATTTTATTTTAAAAATGAAAACTAAGCTAGAATTTAAAACCATCAACACAAACAATACTTTTCCTTTATTGGTTAGTTTTGTCCTAATTGGACGTACAGTAATCTTCAGCTGGGTCTGTTCTGAACCTCTCACCTGCAGAACCGGACCCTCCAACAGGAAGTACTTTCTTTACACTTCATGTGTAAGATGGTAATAATATCCTTAAATCTTGGATAAACGTTACTTTAAGATACTGACACGTTCGCCTCATCGCCTGTCACCAATTGTTTTACTGATCATAATAACAAAGTTGGTCAGTGAAAATAATGAATATATATAGTTTTACTTGTATCTGTTGAGTAAAACCTCCATTAATTCTAAAAAATAAACCCCAAAAAGACAAAAGTGTAACACAAAACTTAAAAAATATGAATATATTTGATTGTTTAGCAGAGTTTCTGTGACACTTGGTGGTCGTTTTTCTTCTGATGATCTGCAGAAACTATCACTTTCACTCGTCCATTCAGAGCATCATGTGTGTCCTCCTGTTGGACCTTCAGTGAAGCGCACTGACCTGAGCGATCCCAGTAACAGAGACGGGAACTCCATGACGGGTGTAGACCTTATCGCTCTTCACATTCAGAGTCAGAGTGTTCAGAGAGATCCTGGAGGGGCAGAGTGAGACGTAAAGAGGACGGTTGATGGACGGTAAGCTGCACTAATGGAGTGTGTTAATACGACGTATTCCTGTTTTGCTTCAGTCGTATCGAGCTAGAAGCTCTCGGTGCATGGCTGCAGGAGATGAAAGCCAGCCACAAAACTCAAATTAAACATTAACTTTGTCTTCAAGGTAACTGGTCTGAACAAACAGGAACCACGTGTGAACTGTAAGACCCAAATCAGACCAGTTTGGAACCTAAAGACAAAAAAGTTAGGCAAAATTAAGTGTTGTTAGTAAAGACAACTATGAATGAAGCTTTCCTTAAAATTAAACAATACTGTATATCATGGCTTTTACTTTTTAAATCATTCCAAATAACCAATATTTTATCCAGATTACAATAAATCAGTTTTTACCTGTCCGTTCTGATTTTTTTATTAGTTAAAATGTGTGCGCTGCTGAATGCCAAATATATCTGATGTTGCTGTTGGTGTATGCAGCAATCGAAACTCAGTGTTTGCTACCTCTGAATCTGCTGAATGCAGGGGATGACGAACACGCGGCCTCCAGCGATCATCAGAGGAGGAGAACGACAGAAGCCTGACAGGAAACAGAACAAGATCACAGGTCAGACCAGGATCCCAACCTTTATTAGACACTTTTCACTATCAAATGTATTTGTTATAATGTAAATGGTTATAAACATTTGGACTTTAACTGGCAACCTTAAAATGTGTTTGGATCATCATCTTACCTGACACCACCATAGCCTCGTTAGGACCACAGGTGTAGAACATGTTTGCTGGTTCTCTTTCTGACTGAAAGATATAGTAAATTAATTAATAAATCTGTAAAACAGCTAATAATAAACTCACATTTTTAGGTCTTTTGCTACAAAAACATTTCATCTTTTAATTTGCTCATTACAGCCTGAAACGTTGCCTAATGGTGTTTGGGCTCCTGCTGATGGAGGGACAGAGGGAGGGCTTGTGACCGGAAGCTGTGCAGACGTAAATTTAATTTACCCAAAGGTTGCGCAGTAAAATAAATATATAAAAAAAACGCTTTTAAAATAAACAGAACCGCAAACAGTCACATAGTAAAGCGGGCATTTTAAATTCTGTGCACATCTCCTCACGTCAACATTAATTTAACCCCTCGCTATGATTTTCCATCATAAACTCCATTAAAATTTTCCATTTGTTTACAATCGAGAATTGAAGTAAAGACAAACGTAATGCACGCTTACCGTTGAGGAAATAAAAATTTTGAGCAGATTAAAAAAGACGAATATGAGAATATGCTGGTTCAAGCCGATGTGTTGATACCAGACGCGTTTTTTTTTTTTCTTCGTTGATAAGATGATGAGGCAGCGAAGCTCTGCGTCTTGGACAGAGCACGCCCATCAGCCGCGCGGCGCGCCACCGCCCCCCAGCGGCCTGGTGGAGAACTGCACATGGAATCAAACAATTTTCAGTCAGGTCATCTGGACAGTTTCTATTTTTTTTTTTGTGCTGAAACGTTTCACCTTCCATCCAGAAGGCTTCATCAGTCAAGGAAACACAACACAAAACTGATTCTTCCCCCAACAGCTTACTCAAACGATCTATTGTTATGCTGATGGTCCTCCTTTTGCATGGGCACAACTAGTTTTGGCTGCCATCACCAAACTGGTTGATCCACTATGAGAAAGTGTTGTTTGTAACACATCTGTGATCTCAGTTTGCTTAAATAAAGATTAATAATAATAATAATATTGGCAGTTTGTTTCCAGATTAATTTCAAAGTCCTTTTATTTGTTTTTAAATGTCTGCAGGGTCCCAGCATCTGTCCGACCTGCTCCAGCTCTGCGCTCCCTCACGCTCTCTCAGATCAGCAGATCAGCTGCTGTTGGTGGCTCCAAAGTCTAACAGGAGGCTGAGAGGAGACCGAGCATTTTCAGTCGCTGCCCCTAAACTGTGGAATGAGCTACCTTTGAACGGCAGACAAGCTGACGCCTGTTTTTAAATCTTCTCTGAAAACACTTATTTTCTTTATGGCTTTTAACTCAAATTGAAATCAATCAATCAATCAATCAATCACCTTTATTTTACCAGGTAGAGCCCGTTGAGATCGAGATCTCTTTCACAAGGGTGACCTGGAAATGTTGGTTTTACTGTTTTTAATTTATTTATTTTTTATTGTTTTGACTGTTTGCTGTTTTGATGATTTCAACAGTTAATTACTTTTACGGTTTCAAATGATTTTATCGTTTATTATGTTTGCTTTTATGTGTTATCTGTGTACAGCACTTTGGCAAATGGTGTTGTTTTTAAAATGTTTTATAAATAAAGTTGTATATTGTATAAGACTGAGTTTGTTGCAGCTCCTCAGACTGAAGAATTATTTTGGATAAAAGACGAAACATTTCACCAAGAATCCATCAAGAGGACTTGACTTAACTCTGTTATAATATAATATATATAATGTAATACAGTATAATATAATATAATATTATTTCTATTCAGTTTATTTCTATAGTTCCAAGTTACGGATTTAGGAGCTTTTGTGTGAAATCTTTTTATCTGTTGCTGCTGTTACATTTGAATTTCCCATCCGTGCACAATAAAGGCTGTTTCTATTCTATTCTATTCTATTCTACTACAGAACTCGCAGAGCACTGTACAAAAACATTCACATACGTTAAAACAGCCAATAAATAAACGTTCTCTATCTATGGAAACCAACAGATTGCGTTGAATCTTCACTTCGTCACATCCCACCCTGAGCGAGCACAAAGGCAACAGTGGAAAGGAAAAACTCCCTTTTAACAGGAAGAAACCTCCAGAAGAACCAGGCTCAGGACGAGCGGCCATCTGCTTTGACTGGTTGTGTTTGAGAAGACAGTACGGTGGCCCTGAAGTGAGAAACCAACGAACACAGAATGACAGGTCCAGGTGTACTTTCTACTGGAAGAAAGACAAAAAACACACATTAAGATAATTACAAGTAAAACTGGTAGGATGGAGCAAGTAAAGACAGCAGCAGAGTGAGGAACTTTGGTTGATTTGTCCTCCAGCAGTCTAAGCCTATAGCAGCATACAGTAACTAAGGGATAGCTCAGGAAGCCCAGCCAACCTGTAGGATTTATCAAAAAGGGAAGTGTTCAGGAACAGCTTCTACCCTGAGGCTGTTAGACTCATGAATCTCTAACAGACAAAAACCGGAAGTTGGTTCCACAAGAGAGGAGCCTGATAACAGAAAGATCTTCCTCCCATTCTGCTTTTGGAAACTCTAGGAACCACAAGTAAACCTGCATGCAGTCTGAGAGTGAAGTGCTCTGTTAGGAAAATATTTTTTTCATTTAGCCTTTATTTATCCAGGTTAGTCTCATTGAGCCACGAGAACTCATTTTCAAGAGAGACCTGTTTAGGGAGCACATGGTGGGAGTTAAGGGCCTTGCTCATGGGCCCAGAGTGGGGCGAATGAGGGTGGGGGCAAGTGTGGGTGTTTCACCCACCCCACCCACAATTTTGATGTTGTCGGGGCCGGGGCGTGAACCGGCGATCTTCGGATCACAGGCCCACCTCTCTAACCTCTGCGCCACCACTCCCCCTATATGGAACATTAATATCTGTAATATGGAGCTAGGTTGTTGAGAGCTTTGTAGGTTAGAAGTATTTAATTCTGAAAGTGACAGGGAGCCAATGGAGAGAAGCTGTGATAAATGCATGGACCAGTTTTACTGCATCTTTTTTTTTGGGACAAGATGTTTCTAAGCTTAGAGATATTACACAGGAAGAAAGAGGTTCTGTTAACTTTTTTTTTAATGTGGGGGTTAAAAGACATGTCCTGATCAAAAATAGCACCAAGGCTTTTAATTTTAGAACTGGAGACCAAGTTAATGCCATCCAGAGGAAGAGTAAATCTACGAAGTTACGATGCTCAGGTCCAAAAACCATAACCTGTCTGAGTTTAAAATAAAAAAAACAAAGAACAGTCATCCAGGTTTTCATGTCTTTAAGACATGATTGTAACTTAAGTAACTGATGGATTCATTGGGTTTCATGGACAAATATAACTGTGTATCATCAGCATAACAATGAAAATTTATCCCATGTTGTTTACCAGTAACAACATTACCTAATGGAAGCATATACAAGCACTGAACCCTGAGGAACTATTAAGTTTGGTGTATGGTGAAGATGCATTACATTGACAAATTGGAATCTATCAGATAAATATGATTTAAACCATTTTAGAGCCGTTCCTGTAATCCCAATATCATTTTCAAGTCTCTGTAATAAAATATTGCGATCAACTGTATCAAATGCAGCACTGAGGTCTAACAGGACCAGTGGAGACACTTGTCCATTGTCAGAGGCCGTGAGAATATTTAGTAACTTTCACCAGTGTATATTCAGTGCTGTGGTGAGCTTTGAACCCTGACTGAAACTCTTCAAATACATTTTCTCTGTTCAGATGTTCACACAACTAAGTTGCAACTATTTTCTCAAGAATTTTTTAGATGATTGTTAGATAGGGGAAATACTTCTTTAAACAGTCTGGTTGGGATGGGATCTAGCAGACATGTGGATGGTTTGGATGAAGCTGTTGTTTTTGACAATTCAGAGAGCTCAGCAGAACAAAAACAGTCCAAACATAAATCAGGCTCTAGTGACATTTCTAACTCTGCCTCATCTGATGGAATCAGAGGCAATAGTAGGAAGGATGGGTGTGAATTTTCTCTCTAATTGAAATAATTTTATTTGTATAAAAAATCTCATGAAGTCATTAACTACTATATAATATAATACAATACAATACAATATAATATTCATTCATTCAACCTTTATTTATACCGGTTAGTCCCATTGAGCCTCAGGGACTCATTTACAAGAGAGTAACAAAAAAATGATGACAACAGTAGACAATCATGAAAGAAAGCTTATAAAATTATAAATGAGAAGAATAAATGAAAGAAAATGGTATTAAAAACAAAACAAAAACAGCTAGATTGTAAAACGATGAAATTAGAGAATTCTAGAATAGAAAATACTAATATAATAATATAATGTAATATCATATCATATCTATGGTCCTGCTGTTTTAAATTTATTTAATTTATTTATTTGTTGCTAACGTCCTGTAGTATTTAGCTCCAACAGGGCAGTGATGACTAAACTGTTTTCTTTTCTCTTCCGGTCCTTGCCTTCTTTACCAGGAAACCCCTTGCAACCCCCGACTCACATTTCAGCCAATCATTGTCGAGGATGCAGACTCATCAGCCAATCGTTAATGAGAACGCTGTGGAGGTCCCTCCCATTTGATCCATTCGCTGGTTGGAGCTTATCTCGGTTTGTTGGGTTCGGTTCGGACGGGTCAGCAGGTCCTCCTCAGTCCGGTAAATCTCTGCAGTTGACTTTCATCTCTGTCATCCACCATGAGGGAAATCGTGCACATCCAGGCTGGTCAGTGCGGGAACCAGATTGGTGCAAAGGTAGGAAAAACGTTGGGAAGAATAAGATTATTATTTTTTCTATTTTCAGTCTGTAATTTAAACGTAAAATATTTATAATAAATATTAAATGTTTATGTTAAGAAGTGGTTAATTTAGCTTGTTCTTGCTAACCTGCTCCAATTATTTGATAAAGGCAATCTTCATGCAAAAAAAAAAAAAAGTGAATATTTAGTATTTTTTATTAAATATATTAAACTTATGCACAGATTTAGTTTCAATTTTGTGAAAAGGGGAAACGAGTCCCAACTACAGATTAAATAGAATTTCAGTGAAAGCTCTCATTTATTTTTTTATTGTAAATGTTTAAGCAGAAACAGTAAATCACTGATGAAACATCTTTGGGTGTGTTGCCACAACAACAATGACTTGAATAATTAATATTATGATGACTTCATAATATTCCTGGTAATCATCAATGGGATCTGTAACGTTTAAAACTGGAACAGTCATTTGGGTCATGATGAATAATGAGGTGGTCCAGACGGATGCAGGCCCACAGGACCAGCTGCTGCCTTGGACTGAGAGACTCTTTGTCACAAGAGCGTGAAAGGAAAGGAGGAAGAGGAGAAGAGCGCAGCAGGAGGAGGGGGTGGAGATGACTGGCATCTCAGTCAGTCTCCGATGAGGTCATATAAATGGCTCCATTTAATCTCAAGGCAGTGGATGAATTTCTAGCTATCGAGAATAATATTCTCACACGTTTGCACTTTTATAGATAAAGCACCCATTGAAGAGACACATCCACAACATTAAGACCAGACTGGACACCCCTGCTTTAGAAACGCATCCATATTTCAAAGTTACATGAGTTTAAGCCTGCATGAAAACATGTTTGGTTGTGTTTCAGGAACTGCTCAGTTTAAGTTGTGTGCATAATATATTGGGCTCATTAACCGCTCATCTGGCTGCAGTAGGAGGCAGCAGCGTATGGGATCAGTGGGACTCGTTGACCCTAATCACTGAAGACACGAGCATTTACAGCAGAATTAGTGAGGCTGAAGTCGTGGATTAACTCTGCTTGAATTCACTCACTGACCACAACCCACTCAATCTCACGTTTTGTTGGATTATTACTGATAAGTATGATTTACGTAGACATCAGTAGGTCAGTTACTTCGTAGTAGCTTGTTAGTGATCTTTGAGGTTTTCTAAAGTTTTGTTATTGTCTTTTTAAATGTGTCCGTCAGATGTAACGACTGGACCAGATTCAATATCTTAAATTAGACCATCAAGATTGTTTGCTCAGTCATGATCGATGATCAATAATCACCTTGTTGCTGTTCTAGTCACTAGAGATTAATTTAGTAATGAGTAAAAAGAGGTGACGGCAGTGAAGATTAAAGAGGTTTTTATTTTTCCAGCCGCGCTAACGTCCCACCCTCCCCGTTACCCTGAATCATCCACATTTATTCCAGATTAGGGTCAGTTCAGTGAGCTGCTGACAGTCGCTGCTCCTGTGCCAACGTCTCGGACCGCAGCGATGGAAGCTGTGAATGCAGCGTATAATCTTCAATCTCAAAGCTGTTGCAGCATTCACTGGTCCAAACTGGAGCAACCCAGTGATCCTCCCAGCAGGATTAAAAACTAATATCAAACATTAAGTCAACGTTCGCTGTACATGGAAGCGAGTTGTGTTTATTTGTCGTGTGCAGGTTAACACATGGTCAGCAGTTCAATGAAATGCTCAGGATGAGAAGAACCGATTTGACTCGCTAAAAGAACAAACAAACAAGAAATACTAAACTATGCAATAAGGGTACAAAATAAAGTAGGGGTGCACCGATAAATCAGCTGACCCATTTGTTGGCTATGATTTCCTTAATTTTGGGAAATCAAAAATCAGCCGATATTTGCACGAGAAGCCGATTTTACCTATTGTTTGTTTGTTTTAACAACAATTGTCTGAACTTCCTTTATATTTCAGAGCACTACCTCATGGCCAGTTAAAACAAGTTTGTATTGTTTCTAGGATATTGTTTAAGGCTATATGTTTCAATAAAATAAGATCGGAACATTGAAGGTGCGTTGTGACCTTAGAACAGTGTCGCTTATAAAACGAAATGGGTATCGGCAGGTCAGACTTTTTAGAAATCGCTGATCGGTGCACCCCTAAAATAAAGTACCAAAAAGTGAGAAAGTAATTGTAAAATTTTCAAGGTCCTGAAGAGAAAATGGTAAACAACAACAACATGGTAGAATTTTCACGGTGCAACTAGGATGAATTTGTATGAACAAGTATTTCACAGGTAGTAATATAAGATTAAACACACAGGATATATATATATTACACATATCTGACATTTACTACACAGGTAGTGACTGACACTGAGATGAATTGTGATGGTAAGGTAGACCCATAGATACAGCCACATAGTGCAGCAGCAATAAATAATAAACATATTAGCTGTCACAGATGTGGCTCGGTGCAGTTATTTCCAGTTGTTCAGTGTTATTTAACGAGAGTTCAGTAATCTGACAGCTGGTGTCCTTTAGTGTCTTTGTACGTGATGGCAGGCTCCTGTATCATCTGAGGGGAGTAGATGGAAGAGTCCTGGTGCTGGGTGGGTGTGGTCCTTAATGACGCTGCGTGCTTTACGCAGACATCAGCTGTGGAAGATGACCTGGTGGTGTGGAGACTGCTACCAGTTCTCTGCTGTGTGCACCACCCTGTGTAGTGGTTTCTGACTGGTGCCGTTCCAGTACGGTCCTGTGATGCAGCCTGTCAGTGGTGCACCTATAAAAGTTCAAACTTCTTTGGTCTTCTTAGGAAGTAGAGTCTTTGTCGGGCTTTCTTGACCACAGTGTCTGTAAAGTCCAGGACAGTTCCTCGGTGACGTGAACGCTGAGGAACTTGAAGCTGCTCCACCTCAGAGTTGTTTATGTCGATGGTGGAGTGCTGACCTCCACATTATTTCCTGAAGTTCATCATCTTCGTCGTTTTGCTGACATTCAGAGAGAGGTTATTTTGCTGACACCAGCTGGTCAGTGATTTCCAAAATGGGCCATCAGTAACCATAAAATACAGCTTGAACTTTAGTTGTTGTGATGCTTGGAGGTAACTGATGCTAATTACAGATGACCAGAAGGAAACTTTTACAGGAAATCTATTTCATAGACACTTTGTTCTCAGTTTTCAGGAGGTCTTGTGATAAAATGATATAATTATGCTGTTTGGAAGCACAGAGCACAGGCATTTCTTTGAGTTATTTACCAAAAAAAATATTGAAAAAACTGAATTAAAGCTTAAATCTTCATATTGTCCTTTGTATGTAAAGTTTCTGTTCTGCTGTTTTGTGTGTTCAGTTCTGGGAGGTGATCAGTGACGAGCACGGCATCGACCCAACAGGAACCTACCACGGAGACAGTGACCTGCAGCTGGACCGGATCAGTGTGTACTATACTGAAGCCACAGGTGAGTTCATCATGACTTGAGCATGATTGAAACTCTGAACTTTGAGTTTAACTTGATGAACCTTCAGCTTCCTTGTGGAGAAAACCACCACCTGCAGCAGAACCGATCTGAATGTAGAACAACATTCAGCAGAGGTGAACATAAATAATTCAACGTCGGCCTCAGGTGTAAAAAGTAATTATGTTTTAGGAAGGCAGGATACTTTAATGTACTTAATTACTTAAAGTACAGTGCAAGAATAGATATCTCCATCGTCAGATTTTTAGCTCAAGTAAAACTGAATAAATGTTTAATTTTATTGCTTTTTTATTTTGTGTATGGTTTACATGTAAAACAGTTAAATGTGTCTTACAGTTAAACTTTGCATTAATATAGCTGCATTTATATTTCCCTGAGTTGTTCTCTTGTATCTAATTTCGTATTAAAATAAAACAAAATGGTAATATTAATGTTATGATCTTTTCCTAAATTTGAGTGTTTGGCTCCACCTCGTGGCCATTTTTGATATTACATACAGATGAAAGGGCGTTTTAATTATCGTTGCATAATTTTAAAAACATGCACGTTTATTTTCTAGTAAATTATTCCATTTTTTTGTCATGTGTTAATCTTACAAGCAAATTTTTTTTTTTCCATAACATACCGGTAACTGGTTAAAGGTCATTTGAATAAACAGACCAGCTGTAATTCCAGTATGTACCAGTAATCAAACCTGACATACCAACATGTCTGTGCTTTGCTTTTTCTGTTCTTGTTTGTGATTGCAGGTGATAAACTTTGTAAAATATAAAGTTGCTGTTGCATAATTTTGATGTTATTTTGTTTGTTTGCAGGAGCGAAGTATGTTCCCAGAGCCATCCTTGTTGATCTGGAACCAGGCACCATGGACTCTGTTCGCTCTGGACCCTTTGGACAAATCTTCAGACCAGACAACTTTGTGTTTGGTAAGAACAGAATATTGTGAGGATGATTTAGTATAATTCTTCTAGGATTTGGGCTGCAATTAAAGGGTTGTCTCGTTTAACTTTTTTGTTTTTTTGGTACCTTTTTTATTTTATTTTATAAAATTATCTCAACATGGTGTCCTGGATCCGGTCATAAAAATGACCATTGACTCAACTGTTGTCTCAAAAAAGTTTTCAGCAATGACTTGTTTTGATTTTTCTCCGTTTGTAAAGTAGATAATCATAAATTAAACTTGAATTAAATAATTTTTTAATGAATATTCTCAGGTCAGAGCGGAGCTGGAAACAACTGGGCCAAAGGTCACTACACAGAGGGGGCGGAGCTTGTGGACTCGGTCCTGGACGTGGTCAGGAAGGAGGCGGAGAGCTGCGAGTGTCTGCAGGGTTTCCAGTTCACGCACTCCCTGGGGGGAGGCACCGGCTCGGGGATGGGGACGCTGCTCATCAGCAAGATCCGAGAGGAATACCCCGACCGCATCATGAACACCTTCAGCGTGGTCCCCTCCCCAAAGGTAACACAACAACAACAACAACTCTCCTGTAGGACCCCAGTGTCAGAACTTTTTATAGATTCAACCTAAGAAATGGGAACAAATTTAGGTATGAAAAGCCTGCCTGAATAAAAAAGTTTTAAGATAAGTTTTCAAAAGGTCCAAGGTGGCGCAGAGGTTAGAGAGGTGGGCTTGTGATCCGAAGATCGCCGGTTCACGCCCCGGCCCCGACAACATCAAAATTGTGGGGGGGTAGGTGAAACACCCACACTTGCCCCCACCCTCATTCGCCCCACTCTGGGCCCATGAGCAAGGCCCTTAACCCCCACCATGTGCTCCCTAAACAGGTCTCTCTTGAAAATGAGTTCTCGTGGCTCAATGAGACTAACCTGGATAAATAAAGGCTAAATGAAAAAAAAAAAAAAACAATCACAAGAAAGTCTGTCTCTCTTTAGAAGCAAAATATAAAAGAGTCGGGCCGGATCAGGACTTTTGCACGGCCCTGCAACTCGTCCACACGTTCTGATGTTCTTCTGGGTTTCAGGTGTCGGATACCGTCGTGGAGCCGTACAACGCCACCCTCTCCGTCCACCAGCTGGTGGAAAACACCGACGAGACGTACTGCATCGATAACGAAGCTCTTTACGACATCTGCTTCCGCACGCTCAAACTGACCACGCCCACCTACGGAGACCTGAACCACCTGGTGTCGGCCACCATGAGCGGCGTCACCACCTGCCTGCGTTTCCCCGGACAGCTGAACGCCGACCTGAGGAAGCTGGCCGTCAACATGGTGCCCTTCCCCCGCCTGCACTTCTTCATGCCGGGCTTCGCCCCCCTGACGAGCCGGGGCAGCCAGCAGTACCGCGCCCTGACCGTGCCCGAGCTCACCCAGCAGGTGTTCGACGCCAAGAACATGATGGCGGCGTGCGACCCCCGCCACGGCCGCTACCTGACGGTGGCCGCCGTGTTCCGAGGCCGCATGTCCATGAAGGAGGTGGACGAGCAGATGCTGAACGTGCAGAACAAGAACAGCAGCTACTTCGTGGAGTGGATCCCCAACAACGTGAAGACGGCCGTCTGCGACATCCCGCCGCGCGGCCTCAAGATGGCCGTCACCTTCATCGGAAACAGCACGGCCATCCAGGAGCTGTTCAAACGCATCTCGGAGCAGTTCACCGCCATGTTCCGCCGCAAAGCCTTCCTGCACTGGTACACGGGCGAGGGCATGGACGAGATGGAGTTCACCGAGGCCGAGAGCAACATGAACGACCTGGTGTCCGAGTACCAGCAGTACCAGGAGGCCACGGCCGAGGAGGAGGGCGAGTTCGACGAGGAGGCGGAGGAGGACGCTTAAAGGGCGCTCCAACGGAAAGAAGCGAGTCAAGAACCAAAACGACGGATTGAAAAGTTAAAGCGAAGGGGTGCTGTACGTGAGGGAAATAAAACCACCAAATTCATGTGCCAAGATTTAGATGTTTAGTTGGTTTGATCAGTTTTAGTCCTCTGATCTTTGTTAAACATCAAAACCTTCTCAGATAATCTCACTTTGTGACAAATGTATGATTTTCATGGCGTGACCTCCTCTGAGAAGACGTCGGGTGTCGGAGTGTATCGAAACAAACGAGTTTCAGAATCAAGTTAATTTATGAGGAAGCGTTCAGCGATAAAGTGAGTTCAGATTAAATTAATCTCATCAGTGTTCAGATTGTTTTTATTAATTTAATAATCCCAGGCTTTTTATTGTCAACTTTTATCTGTTTACTGTTGAATCTCAGCTGTTGTTTACAGGTTTTCTCATTTAATTTATTTACAAGAATCAAACGTTTCATGCGTATTGTACATTTTTTACTTTCCTGACGAAGTGAACGTTTCATTATTCTGGTCAAAGTTTCGTCCGTGACTCGCCTCGGTGTTGAAACCTGTTGGTTGGGATCCTGTTGACTGAAGTGAAACATTTGGGAGAAATAAAAAGCATTTGGTTGGAAAACACTTTGTCATCGTTATTAATAATTAGCTTTTATTGTTTGCGAACGCTTCGAGAAGCCATTAGTCTAATGTCAATAACAACAGATGTGGTGGAGATCCATTAAAAGTTTTTTATTTACAGCCTCAACACAAGTTTCATCTCATGAATCATCTATTCATCGTTTATTATCGCGTCCGTGCAACGAGGAAATGTAGCTGCTGCTTTTATGAATCTGACATTTCCTCATCTTTTATGACATTTAATATAAACATGCACAATTTAAAAAACTTTAAATAAAATTATTTAAATTTAAATAGACCAGAAAGTTGGACAAAGTGTTTTAAAGTAGAAACTTTAAATTTGATCAATACTTTATTAATCCCAAAAGACAAAAATCAATGCTTAAGAGATATTTATTTATTTTCTCCACTGATATTAAGATGAGACAGAACTTTATTGATCACGCAGGAAATTGTTGTGCCAGAGTTTCAGTTTTTATATTAAAGCAGCACACGATGCATTCAGGAGCTGAGAATAGTTTGAAATATTTGATTATTTTACAAATACTTGATATTTTAAAACACTTGAATGTTATTTTTTATATTTAACTGGCAGGTGGACTGTTGTATTGTGGAAATAAATTAGTCAAAGTGTTTCAACTTCAAACATCTGCTGAGAAGTGAATGTGATTTATTTATTCTTTATTATCACGTTAACTGAGACAGCACCTCTGATGTTTTATCAATACAGTGACGTAATACGAGCTTAAATCAGACGTCAGATTAAATACGTGTCTGGGTTCAGTTAATCCATATGAAATCCCTGCAGTTTATGTTTATCAATATTCAGCTAATAAATAACTCTGAGGTGAGTTGATGCACGAGAGACGTTTGAGGGTTTGAGCTGAAGAGCTGCAGTTTAAACAACAAATCAGGACCTTCCTCTAAAAAATAATATTTTTAATATTCTGAGCGTTCCTTCATCGTTTAAACACAAAAGTATGAACTCTTAAAAAACTAGAGAACATTTTCTGTAAGATTGATGAAACTCAGCTGCTAAAACCAAACAAGCAGAACATTAGAAAAAAAAGCTTAAAGAGGCAAAATGTTAACTAAAAGCCAAAGTTAGCAAAATGATAGCTAAAAGCTAAATATAGCAAAATGATAGCAAGAAGCTAAATGCAACAAAAGGCAAGAAATAGGTTAAAAGTAGCAGAACACTAGCTAAAAGAAGCTAAAAGCTAGCAAGAAGCTTAGAGTTGTTAAAGGTTTAGTAAAACAACTAAAAGCTAAAAGTACCAGAACAGCAGATAAAAATGTCATCAGACTAAAAGTTGAAAATAGCCAAATGGTAACTGAAAGATAAATGCTAAATGTTAGCTAAAGTCTAAATGTAGAAAACAAAATAAATAGAACATTAGAAGTTCCACTGCTGAGCACAAAACTAAACATTTACAGAATGATATCTAAATCCTAAAAGTAACTAATTAAGGCCATTAAAGGCAGAACAGTAGCTAAAAGGAGCAAATAGCAAGCTTAAAATTGAAAGTGAAGCACCAGGAGCTAAAAGCTCAAATTAGTAGAATGCTAATTAGCTAAATGCTAAAAATAGCAAAACAGTAGCTACAAACTGAAAGTAGCAGAACAGCAGCAAAAGGCAAGCTTAAAATTAAAATTGGAGGACCATGCGCTAAAAGTACTTTGTAGTAGAACAGTAATTAGCTAAAAGCTGAAAGAAGTAGAACAGCAACTAGCTAAAATTAACACAGCAGTAGCTAAAAGTAGCCAAAAGCGAGCATAAAATTAAAAGTGGAGGGCCAATAGCTAAAAGCTAAAATTAGTAGAAAGCTAATTAGCTAAAAACTAAAGCAGCAAAACAGTAGTTTAAAAACTAAAAGTAGCAAAAATCAAGTTTAAAATTAAAACTGGAGGAACAGTAGCTAAAAGCTAAAATTAGTAGAAGTTAATTAACGCTAAAAGTAGCAGAACAGTAGCTAAAAACTAAAAGTAGCACAACAGCTGCTAAAATCAGGATAAGAAGACAACAGATCTAAGAGAACAATGGTGTTTTAAGAACTGAACAGATCTTTATGCATCTCTGGGAATTATTAGTAAATAAAGTTAAATCTTTAAAAATTGTTATAAAATGTTAAAGTCACAGCACTCCTCTCCTGAATGAGCTCCATGTTTTCATACATGAATTGCTGAAACAGAACCAGGAAAACAAACTGTTAAAGTCCATCTGGGGTCCAGATAGGACCAGATCTCTGGAGTCCTGCAGCTTCTTGCGGCTCCGAGCCAGACCCGACGCTTTTTGCCGAAGTTTTCCGATCGGAGCCGAACTCAGCCTCCTCACACCCGACATCCACCGAAGTCTTCATCTTCTCGGGATCTTCCTCGCGCTGAAGTCTGCAGTTGGCTGGTGGTGGGAGGAGGAGAGATCATTAAATAATTTTATAAAACAGCGATTAGCACCTCGGAGCCCCTCCCTGTCCTCCGGGTCTCGATCCAAAGCTACAAAAGGTAAATTTCTACATTTCTTAACGAGCTTCTCTCAGCTCACAGGGAGGCAGTGGGTTAAATCCTGCAGCTTTTCTTTGCTGGTTTTGGGTATTTGCCGGTTCTGATTGGTACCAGACGGCCGGTTCTGGGCGTGGAACCCGCGTGGGAATTTTCACGCACGCAAAAAAAGACAACTAGGTGATAAAAACCAGAGAGTAAACTTTAAATTTAACTAAAAATATCAGTATTTCAGAACAATGAGGCAGGAATCCCCCACGCTGCTCACACAAGGGGTTAATAATATGTCTGTTAAATATGTAAAATACTCATGTATTTCAGTTAAACGCATTTAAATTAATAGCCTTAAAGCATGATGTAAGATGTGCATGTTTGATCTCCAGTCTGGGGTGGATGTTCGGGGTATAACCCCCTGCCTGGATGGGGGTTTTCTGCTCCACCCTGGTGGACACCTTCAGGCGGTGCAGCGAGCCTCTCATTAAAGCTGCTGACTTGTCACATCCTACAATCATGTAGAGCTAAATGATGAACGAGGGACAGACTTTACAAAGACTCGCAGCATCAATAATTATTCCAGGGATCAATTAGTGATTCTAATTAAAGCTAAATTACATTTTATTGGTCAAATCTTCTCCACGCAGCTGATGCTTTAGCTCGTTTCTGTTCATGCAGCTTCAGCTGAACACCAGAGACAAACAGAGCATGCTCTGATCCCAAACAGAAAAAAACTGCAACCCTGCATTCTTCATTCATGCTCTCCTCTCATTTCCTCCATCCTTCACCTCCTGACTCCCGCCGTCACAACGCGCCCTGCAGCTGCTCCTGCGTGAGGGAAGGAGAAAAAGGAGGAGGTGCAAAGAAAGTGCTGTGATTTCTGTGCTGAACCAACTCATTTTCATGCTGAAACAAGCTTGGACTGAACATGGAGGTTCTGTGAAAGTGATCAGATCAGATGAAAAGATGAAGAACGATTAAATCGCTCGGCAAGACTGGACAAAAGAAAACGAGCATGAACTAACAAAAGATGCAGACGGATGGATGGGAGCAGGTGGTGGGGTTAAGAGCCTTGCTCAAGGGCCCAGAGTGGAGAGGCAGATGTGTTTGTTCCATCTTTCCCCGCGTTGTGATGTTGTCGAAATACAGGGAGTCATACCGGCGACCTTCCGATCACAGGCCCGCCTTCTCTAACCTCTTCACCACCACGCCGCACCAGATCTTACAGCACCTGGTATTCAGGTGGTCAGGCCCGACCCTGCTTAGCTTCAGAGATCAGGCGTGTTCAGGGTGGCATGACCGTAAACATACTAGCTGTCAACTTCCATGTGTTTACCTGAAAACAGCCGAAGTGACCGAAGATAGGTCAGCAGTGCAGACCTCCACTGAAAAACTGTTTGGGATGAACTCCAGTAATTATTGGTGCACGTTCACGCTCCGATTTGTTGAGTTGAGTAAAACCTGCAGATAAAGTGTTTGTTGACACTGAGCGTGGACCTGCGCTCAGAGAGTCACCGATGGAGATGTGACATGATCCGAACAGTCACATCAAAACATCTGGAAACCTACGGGAGTAAACTTCTTCAAACCGTTTGACGGAGTCCACGCTTACGTTTTTAGACTTGATGTTACAGATTGCAGCTTTAATGTGAGGAGGAGGTTTTAGTTGATCAGCAGGCTGAACGCCTCAGACTGACTGAAGGGCTCAGGAGGATAATTACCACCTGAAAGAAGGTGTGGGAGGATGAAGCTGCAGGAGCAGAGGAGATAAGAAAGATGAGAGCGCTGACTCTGTAACAGGAGGAGGGAGACACGATGCTTTCACCGCTGCTGATCGTGAGGAAGAGGAGAGAAGCTTTTAAACTCGTGGTTCAGGGAGGAGACAAACAGAAAGATGTAACCTCCTCTCCTCCTCGCCTGGAGGAGACAGCTGGACCGCTGTCAACTCTGTCCCATCGTCTGTTCTGACAGGACCACGACCCTGTTCAGAGACAGCTGCTCTGCCCATCATCTGTTCTGACAGGAGACAGGAGGACCACGACCCTGTTTAGAGATAGGTGGACTTCCTGAGGCGACAGCACAGCTTTGTGTTTTCACAATAAGTACCTGCAGAAATGATGTTTATTAAGTTAATACATCCATAATTCTGCCTCATTTAAAAATAAATACGCATAAACAGCATCAGCCCTTCATATTTACTTCTTCTTCTCTTGTTGCAGCTGTCTCTCTGAACTTCCTGCTGATTCTTTAAGCTGATTTTCTCTGAATATCACATTTATGAGTATTTTAAACACGTGCACGTTTCTATAATCAGCTCTCATTTTCTCATCAAACACAAAGTTCTGCTTAAGTTCAGCTTCAACACGCAATCATCTAATGACTCTAAAGAACATTAAATGAAACGTATTCTAACGTTCTTCATAAACAGACATAAATTAGCAGAACGTGTGAGGAGTTCTGTTTCCTGCTGCTGGACGGAGAACGTCATGTGACTTTTCAGAAAATAGA